TATATTTCCCACCAACTGATCGATGGACTAGATCGTACCGGTTCATACATATATATGGCGCACAAAAAGTTCGCATATAATTCCAATTTGAATGAATCACATTAAAAGCGATCTTGATATTGATCTTAGGCTTTAGGATTTAGCCTCTTAGAGCATATCGAATTCGTTGTGACCTTGCTTTCTGATCTTTTGTGGCTTGAGCTGTGGGTATTTATATTGAACTTGTTCTCTTTGCCAGTGCCTTCGGCTGTCCGTTTAGATCCTGTTGTGCCGTACTCAACCAGTTTGAAAGGGAATTTTCCCTTTCAGCCAATTGGTATTCTTTAGCCTTGCAGCCCTTTTTAATGATCATAAAAGAGTCATTAAAATAAAAAATAAATAAACCTTTTGTATCGAGATGCAGTAGATGCATCGAGATGTATGTACTATATAGTACCTCTATAGGTACTATAGGTACTATTCAACTATCACATTCCTAACCACTCTAACCGCTAGTTTATGTCATATTGCTAGTTAATTACAGTTATTAGACTGTCTCTGATTGGCTTACACATCAATTGCCGGCGATTCTGTAATTGCTGAAAGTGACGCAGCTTCTCCAGCGAGAAGCGACGATGCGAATAGAGTGCGCCCAGAAAGTCCTTGAGCGACTGACGTCGCAACCGACGACGCACCACGGTCATAACGAGACTGTATTATCGATATGTATTAACTGTTCACTAACTATATACACAATGTATACGAATGTATACATAAATATATTCTTTTGTAATTAGATTTGATGTGTTCGCTGCAAAGTCAAAGCCAAACTAAATGGCGATGAATTGTCAAGGGTCCGATGTACCCTCGGCTACTTTCATTTCAAGCTCGGCACATTATTAATTGCTTTTGATGCGCTCACATAGGGTAAAACCTAATGGACATACAGTTTGTCGCATCTAATTCGATTTTCAGTAGTGTAGGAGACAATTATTATAAAACATTAAATATTTAATATTTTTAAAGAAAATGATTTGAATTGAAAATAAAAATAAATTAAAATCTAATGGACATACAGTTTGTCGCATCTAATTCGATTTTCAGTAGTGTAGGAGACAATTATTATAAAAAATTAAATATTTAATATTTTTATCAGCAGCAAACATATGCAAATATTTGTTATTTTAATTTTATTTAAAATTTAATATAACTATGCTTTTCAAA